AGACAATGTGATTCTCAGGCTCCAAGTGCAACTGAGAACCAGCAGCACCGGCTGGCATGACCTGGCATTACCCTTGGGCCTCACTCCCTCAGTAGATCACAGCAGGCACCTGACAAGACCTAGGGCACTGTCCACACAGCGGTGTCAAGCACAGATGAAGCCCACTTTCTAGACCCTGGTCCGTCATACCTACAACAATTTACTAATGTGACATTCCAATTATCTGAAAAACAAGGCATGCGCAGTAGCACACACCTACAGTCTGGGAGGCTGAGGCAGAACTGTTTGAACTCAAAAAGTTCAAGACGTTCTGGGTATGGGAGCACACACCTTTTATTCCAGCACCTGGGAGACAGAGGCAGGTCTGTGAGTTTGAGGCCTGCTTGATTTACATAGTGAGTTCTAGGACAACCAGAGCTACCTAGTGAGGCCACGTCTCAAATAAAAAACAAAAACAAAACACAACCAAACCCCAACAAGTTCAGGACTACTTCTGGCAACAGAGAACCTAACCTATACCCCCAAAATGGATTACTCTGTTCAACTTTATTTCAACCTTCTCAAACTTTTATGTACGAGTGCTTTAAAAAGAGAATTATACTTCTCTTTTATTGTGTGTTGGTTTTCATGACAAGCTCTCATATTGCTCAGGCTGTCCTCAAACTTGCTGTGCAGCTAAGGCTGGCCTTGAACTTGAACTTCTGGTCCTCCCGCCTTCACCTCCTAAGTGCTGAGGTCACAGATGTGTACCACCATGCTGGCTGAGGTCACAGATGTGTACCACCATGCTTGCTGAGGTCACAGATGTGTACCACCATGCTTGCTGAGGTCACAGATGTGTACCACCGTACTCTCCAAAAATTATACATTCAAAATAAAACAAAAAAAGCTGAGAAAAACCCAAAGCACAACAACAGCAAAGCTCTACCACAGTGCTGCTTTCTAAACACAGGGTAGTCAGTTCTGAATGAAGTTCAGCTGCTCCGCTCTGTAACTCCCTTCTATCCACCTGAGGCAATTACCAGTGTTTAAAATGAAAAGAAGGGGGAGCTAAGGAGACAGCTAACAATTAAGACTGCTTACTGCTCTTGCAGAGGACTGCAGGGCAACAGATGTTGTCTTCTGGCATCTGCAAGCATCTGCATATATGTACACATATTCTCTCTCTCTCACACACCCACCCACATACACATGCACAAAATCACTCGCTCATAATTAGAAATGAAGTCAGTTGAACCTAGGTGTGGCGGTACATGTCTTTAATTCCAGCACAGTGAAGGCAGAAACTGGTGGACTTCTGTCAGTTTGAGGCCAGTCTGATCTACATAGCAAATGCCAGGCAAGCCAGGCTTACACAGTAAGGCCCTCTCTCAAAACAAAGCCTTTGAGAAGAAGTAAAAACAGTAAAGCCTCAGTATCTTAAAATTCAGTATAAAAAAGAAATGCAAATTTACAAAAGCTAACAATAATAACACTGTGAGATGGTTTAGTTTTCAAAGCATTTTCCTCTACAATACCTAATTTTTACTTCCTCCAACTTTATGAGGCAGGAAGGCTCATAAAAGTGAGGCCTAGAGTTAATACATAGTAGTGCTGGGACTAAAAACTAGATTGTAGCATTCTCATAAAAATAGTTTAACTATTTAATTTACAGAGAATCAACAAAGCTAACATTAGGCCAGCATTAGGTAGGACTCTCCTTAGATGATTCAGAACATGTTTCAGGTCTGCACACAGATTCATACATCTAAGCTGGCCCCATTGCATAAACACCAGTCACCTCCACATCATAAAGTGCAGTTAAGATGGGTAACAGATGTCTGGTTAACCAGAGTCTATCAGTAGTAGAGCCCAGTTTCCCAGGACTTGATCACTTTAAGGAAGTTATAAATTACCCACAGAGGCTGAAATCTAGAATTAAAACTCGGTCATACCTTTTTTTCTCTTATTGCTACAGTCATATCTGAATTCTGCTTTCTTGACTATAAAGTATTTCTCTCTCTCTTTCTCTCTCTCTCTCTCTCTCTCTCTCACACATACACACACACACACACACACACACACACACACACACAGAACAAATGAGGTACCCCTGTGAATAATTTAATAGCATGCCTTCCAATACTTTGTAGCTCTATAGAAATCCAAGATGGTAAAAAGAATTCTTGACATTTTTGTCCCATAAAGAAGAAAAGTGATCTTAACAGAGCAGATACATTATCAAACTTGCACCCTAAAAAAATTCAAGCTTATTATAAAAACTGAAAATAATTTGATTGTGATTATAAAAACAATCCATAAAGAGAAAAACTCCACAAAATTAATGTTATTTACATTATTACATTAATAAAGCATCTATGAAGAAAATGGAAACCATTCATGATGTCAATATCCATAAGTAATCACTTAATCTTTTGATGTACATGCTTACAAACTTTAGTGCAAACACTTGGGCATGGTTTGTAAACACATTTTAGAAAGTGAGGTCAACCAACTCTAACTTTGAGTTCTCTGAATTAAAAAAAAAATCTAGTCTTTGAAATGAGAAAGAAAGAAAGAAAGAAAGAAAGAAAGAAAGAAAGAGTAAAGCCGTAACCTCCTAAAATTAAGTACATAAGAAATGCAATCTTACAAGCTGCTTGCTATATATCACAGGTACTAGTCTACTCCAAATAGAGAGCATTCTTTTTAGTACCTAATAGGTCACTGAATAGTAAATAACCCTGTCATCTTTGGGCCATGGAATCCCTCCTCCCATGTAAGCAGCTGGCATTCCTATTATAATTTAACCACTAGTTAAAGTTTCCTATTGTAAACAACGCTGTCACAAACAGTAAACAATCACCCCCGCTTTACTAGAGAACAAACCATGCACCTTTTAAAAATCATTTATATTTTTACTTTTAATTATGTACACACATCTGTGTGTGGGTATATGCCTATGAGGGCAAGTACCTACAGAGCTGTCAGGGCTCCTGGAGCTGGAGTTATAGGCAGTTCTAAGCCATCCTACACGGGTGCTGAGAACCAAATTTGGATTAAACGTTGAGCCATCTGTCCAATCCAGGACATGCACACTTTAAACTCTGCACTACTGACCTGCCTCTTAGAAAGTGCCAGTTTACATTCTCAGGGGCAATATGTAGAAGTGCCTTTTCCCCCACGTCTCTTGTCTATCCAGGCTTGGTTTGAAATTGAACACTCTTTTACTACTATTAAAAGTGAAAGGCTTTAAGATCATTTAAAATGGAGAGGCATTTGGCTCGGCTTAAGACGAAAGTTATGAGGAAGGAAAACAATAAAAGGTAGAGGGAGAAAAGACGTTTCTGAATACTTTCCGAATACTTTGAAATCTTCATTCTATTTGGGTTGATCTTTTATCACCCTACTTATTCCTCCTCACACTGTAATTTCTTGATGTTTATTTATTTATTGTGGGGGCATTGCCACAGAGCACATGAGAAGGTCAGAGAACAACTTTGGGGGCCATGTGGACTCAGGTCATCAGGCTTGGCGGCCAGCACCTTCAACCACCTCTCCCGGCTCCTTTAAAGGGCTAAGGCCTTTGAAACTATTTGCTTTGTTTTGTTTTCAGTCATCACCTGTGTGAGAAGGGAAAGGAGGAAATGTATGGCAGTGAACATGCAGGCTGACGACAAAGTCTCTGTGTGTAGCTGGTGATCAAGCATCAGCTTTCCTTGGACCTGTCAGTGTGTCCTGATCTATCTATCAAGTGTGTGCCATGGAATGGGGCACACTGAGGTTCCAATGCTCTGCTTTTTAAACAGTAGCTGTCTGCTCTCTAATCTCTGAGGCTATTGAATGCTCATCATGAAAATCAGCATGTAAGCATGTTTATTATCATCAAAACCTTGGACTATTTCAACTAACACATCAAACATGGCAGTGAGGGAGAAAACCCACCACAGAAGATGATTCTACGCTAGGATCAGCTTGCTTTACATGTATCTCATGGCTGAGATTCTTAAGAGCAGATTCTTAAAAGTAACCATGCAAAATGGAACTAGCAATAGAATGTAACACAAACTATGAAAGGATTGATAGGAACATGCCTTTCTTTCTGAACCATTATTGAAATACCCGCCATGTCCACAGAAAGGTCTATGTTCCAATAATCAAATGGTCACAGGTTAGGTTTAGTACTGTTTTTTTCAGACGGGGTCTCATTATGCACTCCAGGGTAGCCTTGAATTCTTATGATTCTCCTGCATCTATGTTCAGGTTCTGGGATCACAGCCCATGTGATAGCACACCCTGTTCTACCTTTATATTTATAAAATGCAATGCTACTTCTCATCAAGTCACAGGTTCAGACCTATTCAGAGAACCAGCTGACACTACTTTATTGAATTCAGTTTTGATCCAATATTCTCAGGCTATTTACTAAACAGGTACTATTGTTTAGATGGCATGTGATTTTAGGTGCCGGGCACCTGAATGGAACAGCAATTAAAAAAAAAAAGTTATTGCTTTAAAATTGTACATGGAGAAACAGACCAAAACCAAAAGTTAGTAAAGAAGGCAGGCATGGTGGGAGGCTGAGACAGCTGCCCTGAGTTTGAGGTCAGCCTGGTCTACATAGCAATTTCCAGTTCAGCTAGGGTTACAGAGAGAAACCCTGCCTCAAAAACCTGTTGGTAGAATCAGGAGCAGCCCTGCCTGCTAGACTTGTCTCCCTTGACTGTGATGCCTGAAACAACTGAGAGTTTCCAGGTCAAACCAACCCCAAGCAGAAAGCTTCCTTCCCTAGCACAGAGAGCCCAGAGGGTGAGAGGGTGGTCAGCAGAGAGGAGGGTGCATGTCTGTGCTCAGTCAGGAGGTTCTTCCTGGGACTCTGCCTTCTCCAAGGCTGCCATACACTCTAGTCTATGTCTCCTGCTCTGCTCACACCACAGAAGACAAAGCTAGCAAGTGAGGAGCGGCCCGCCCACACCTGCATCTCCTGTCTCTGCATCTCCTCCTCACTTCCTGCCCTGTACCTGGGTCATTTTGTCCACAGAGACTGGAATCCCGTCGATGGTGAGAGGTGGCAGTTCTGAATTAACCTCCTGTGGCGCAGGGGCGTGTTCTGCTAGAGCAGACTCCAGGTCTTCCAGGATCATGCTCTTGTACTTTCGCACCTGCAGGGAATTAAGGGCAGAAATAAACAAGATGCTCAACAGCCAGGGAGGGCTGGTGCCAAGCAACAAGAAAGTGGGTGGGGCTGGTGTCCCTTGGCCACTGCACAGCTCCCAGAACAAACACTCCTGCAAGTAGAAGGTGAAAATACCCGCTGGCCCCAAAGACCATTGAACCAAATCAAATGAAAAGATGATGAAATTTTAGGTAACAATAGGAAGCAGCCAGTGGGAAAGTTCCATAGAAATACTACTGTTTCTCAGTTGAGATCCAACGCCTGTTCCAAATATAATGTAAATAACATCCATTACTCTGCTTTTCCCAGGCCAGTTCTGACCCAGGTCACATCTAATGTGACAGTTAGCTGTCAAAATCATTTTCCAGCTCTGAGGACTTAGGTCTTTGAACTCTAATGTATTTGAAACTGCTATTTTTTTTTTTTTAATAGAAAGCCAGGAGATCCAAGTGCTCAGGAGGCTGGACTGAAAAGAATCAGACAAAGCAAGGGGTAGATAATACATCTGAGTGCCAAAATACCATCACTAACTAGTAAGGCCTGAGGCCAGGGAGCCCCCCCTGGAGACAGGTGAACTTGAAAGCCACGGTGCCTCTCTCCATGCCCGCACGGTTCTGAACCAGGGCTGTGCCACGACTGTTCTTCAGCAGTGCAGTGACAGGGATCTCGAGACAGCAGAACCTCGGGCAGAGTGTGTGTGCACATCCTATCATGAGCAAGAAAAGGAGGCACACACTGGACCGCAACCATCAATAATGGGTTTATTGACTCAGAATACACAAGGGCATGAGGATGTCTCTAGGGATAATAAAGTCATGGAATTATGGAACTATAACTAGATGGGACAGGACATTAACTTGTTTTCGGGCGCTTTCTTGGAATGGGAAGACAAAATTAATTTTGTCAAAAAGTACCAACAGTGTTTTTTGCTCAGTGAACTTACTTCCATACTGGTGGCTCACTGTGAGGCTCAGAAGAGAAAGATCCCATACTCTACCCCACACACCTAATAGTAACCAGACCCAGTTCTAAAGCTACAGGACCCTCCAGACAGCAGTGCGAAGGAAGTGAAAGAAAAATGGCCCAAATGCTAGATTCACTATAACTCAACTACATCAGTTTTATACGAACACAAAAAGCTTCAGATACTATCACCAGTGTGTATATCACGGCATAAGCACCGCTACGATCTAGGCATTATACAGGCTTCTATTTTCTGAGTTTTTCTGCTGCTAGTCCACAAAGGGAATTGGAGAATGGAACAAAGCCTGACTCTTCCAAGTCTGGGCTCTTTTTTTTTTTTTTTTTTTTTGGTTTTTCGAGACAGGGTTTCTCTGTGTAGCCCTTTCCTGGAACTCACTTGGTAGCCCAGGCTGGCCTCGAACTCACAGAGATCCGCCTGGCTCTGCCTCCCGAGTGCTGGGATCAAAGGCGTGCGCCACCACCGCCCGGCAAGTCTGGGTTCTTTAACTTAGTGCATCAAGTTGAAGTCACAGGTGCAGGCCCATAGGAGGAATAAAAATGGTATAAAAACACTTTTTATCGTGGTGGTAATATCTGGCCTTCAAAGATGGGAAAACACTGGATTATTACTATTACATTAGTCAGTATCAAATAATTTCAGCTCTTTTTTTTGGGGGGTGGGGTGAGGATTCAAGACAAGGTTTCTCTGAGTAGCCCTGGCTGTACTAGAACTCCCTCTGTAGACCAGGCTAGCATTGAACTCACAGAGATCCACCTCCTATGCCTCCCAAGTGCTGGCACTAAAGGTGTGAGCCGCCACTGCCTAGCTAATTTCAGCCATTTTTATGGATCAAGAAAAGTCAAATTCTGGTATTTTGCTAAACTGCTGACAGATTATGTTTTAGAGTAATTTGCAACAAAGCAATCCAGGTGGATACAGCACTCCCATCTAAGCTTGCTTAGTAGAGTAGGTTTCCCATAATCATAGAGCTGTGTTTCAATTCCACCTCATCTCTTAATTCTGAGATGCATTCCCCACCTCCTATCCACAAACCTCATTTTCCAATCTTCCAAAATCTCAGTGCATCTAAAACTGTTGGCCAGCATCCTCATTAGTTTTTGCTTCTAGCAAGTTCTTTTCTACTTCTGGGCCTTTAATTCTGCTTCTTATCCAAATATTGCCTATTTTGAAAGTCCAACTCCATTTCCACATACACTCTGAAAAACCTTCTCAAGTGTTCCTGTCTTAATCATCTTCCTGTTTTAAATTCCTAGTCTCAAATAATCATGTGTCACTTATACTACTGTTCCCAGAATACAGTGTGTACAGCAAACACATGACACTGCTGAGCACAGTCTTTTTTCACATGTCTCATGAAATATTTCATGTATTCAGACACACAGAGAGGTATATTACCAAATATTCTCATGAATTCCAGGGACAGAAGGTTAGGTTTAGGGCACTTACACAAACCATTAGAATTTTGGACACAAATGTACTGTTGAAAATTTAGAAACTGGCCTTTAGTCAGGTTGAAAAAACAGCCTTGGACAATATACCAGGATTCTTCTGCATTTCTGAAGCTTTCTGGATATAAGTAGTCTTTGGAAAGTTCCATAAAAGATCTTTTATAAATTTACCCATATGGGGCTGGAGAGATGGCTCATCTGTTAAGAGCACTGACTGTTCTTCCAGAGGACTCAGGTTCATTTCCCAGCACCCATATGGCAGCTCACACCTGTCTGTAACTCCAAGATCTGATACCTTCACACAGACATATAGGCAGGCAAGACAGCAGCACATAAAATAAAAATAAATAAATTTAAAAAAATGTACCCAGGTGCCACTGTGACTAAAATTGATTGTCATGTGGAGCATATAATAGGAGCGGCCCGAGCATGGAGCGGCCCTCACACTTGTGACGCTTGGCTGGCTGGGAGCTATGCTCCAGCTAAGGCTAGTGAAATTCGGCCGGCTTCCTCCTGCTCTCTTTCCAGCCCCCGGACTAAGTTCCTCCACCAAGTGTGGACTCCTAGGTTTGTTTGTTTTACAGCAAGATTTTGTGTTGGTTTCCTCCTGCCTCTCTATGGCTGTGCTATGGCACTGTGTGTGAAGGTCAGAGGACAATGTGTAGGAATGGATTTTCTCCCTCCACCATGTAGATTCCAAGGAATGAACTCCAATCCTTGGGCTTGCCAGCAAGAGTCTTTACCCACTGAGCCGTATCATCAGCCCAGGTGTCTAGTCTTGAGACTTGAAAATTAAAGCATTTAGGCGGACTCTTATTTAGACTTTGCATATGTGAGTGTGGTTCCACATGCACTGAGGAGAGTCCTCATGGCCATGGCGCGGCTGAGAGTTCTGACCCAGTCTCCCATCTCTTTTCAGGAGCACTGGATTACAGATGTGGGCTACCACACCCAGCTTTAGTTCTGAGAATTCAAACTTAGGCCCTCAAGCTTGCATGGCAAGGTGCTTTACCTAAGGAGCAATCTCCCCAGCTCCCTGGAGTTCTTGGGAAGTTTTCTTGGTTTTTGTTTGTTTGTTTTTTGAGATGATGGTTTCTCTGTGTAGCTTTGGTGCCTGTCCTGGATCTCACTCTGTAGACCAGGCTGGCCTAGAACTCAAGAGATCCACCTGGCTCTGCCTCCCGAGTGCTGGGATTAAAGGCATGTGCCACCACTGCCTGGCTCTCAAGAAAATATTTTAGGCTGTTCCCATGAAGCTCAAGAAAGTCTATAGTTTGCACAAAGCCTCAGAGAGCTGCCCTCAGAGCACAGTAAGCAGCATTAGCTCAAGCACTGCCTAAGCTCAGGGCTTGTCTCAGCACTTCCCCTTAGCAGTTGATATCGGCAGACAGACTTAACGTCTGTCCCCAGGGAGGAAAGTACTGTTATCCTTTTTACACACACACACACACACACACACACACACACACACACACACACACACACACGACACTGAGAGACAACTCTAGTGCAAACTATTTTCTTTCTGTGTTTTTTTTTTAAATTAGGGGTGTGGAAGGATGGCTCAGTGGTTAAGAATGCTGGCTGCTCTCCTAGACAACCTGTGTTCAATCTCCAGCACCCACATGGTGGCTTACAACCATTTGTAACTCCAGTGCCAGGGGACCTCATGCCCTTGTCTGACATCCAAGAGCACACATACACATGAGGCATATACTTACAAGACATACACACACATACAAACGAACAACAAAAAAGGCCAAGAATAAAAATATGTAGACCAAGCTCGTCTTGAACCCAGAGATCCACCTGCCTCTCCTGCTGGGAATAAAGGCGTGTGTCACCATGCCCAGCTAAATCAACTTTTTTGAAAACAGCAAAAGAGATTTTTTAAAAAGATATACCTAAATATGTGATTAATAATATGCTTCCAGTTCACTTTATAAAATTATTACCCTGGAATCTAGTGTTTTGTTTCAGATACGAATAAACAATTTCACTTTTTTTTAAAGTGGTGTCTAATTTAGCTCAGAGCACAAACTGGATTTGTAGCCAAGGATAACCCTGAATACCTGATCCTCTTACCTCCACGCCTCCTGAATGCTGAGATTACAGGCATGGACCACAGCACCTGGTAAAGTGCTTAGGATGGAACCCAAGACTTCACGAATGCTAGGCAAGGGCTCCACCAACTGGGCTACATCTTCAGCCCCGTATTGGTTCCTAACAACATACTGTCCTTTTTTACTGCTTCTGATGGGGTACAATACTTTGACTTAGGAACTACAAACAGTAATGAACATTTTCTTTTGTTTTGTTTTTTGAGACAAGGTTTCTCTGTGTAACAGTCCTGGCTGTCCTGGAACTCACTTTGTAGACCAGACTGGCCTTGAACTCATGGAGATCTACCTGCCACCCAAGTGCTGGGATCAAAGGCATATGCCACCACCGCCCGGCAATAATGAACATTTTAAAAAATTATTATTCTGCCGGGTAGTGGTGGCACACGACTTTAATCCCAGCACTCGGGAGGCAGAGCCAGGCGGATCTCTGTGAGTTCAAGGTCAGCCTGGTCTACAGAGCGAGATTCAGGACAGGTACCAAAGCTACACAAAGAAACCCTGTCTCGAACAACAGAAAAAAAAAATTCTCTGTGCACAAGGCATGAAACAGCTTTGGCCAAGCCAAGCATCAAACATCAAACTAGGCTCAACAAAGCTCTACCGTCTGCTGTGTTCTTGACTGACTTATGAATGCCATCAATAAAGTATCTTTCTGACCATAGTCATGGGACTGATCTTTTTGGTTTCAATCTGCATAAAGTAGTTTGAAAAACAACTACCACCTTCCATCCCTGGACAGATGGAAGGAGGAAGTGTTTAACACTGAACTGGAAAGAGGACTAAAAGGCGAAAACCCTACATGGCCTTTGGGGACCCAGCTCAGATCTGACTTACCACGTTCTCCAAAGGTGCTGCTCCGAACACCTTAAAGACGGGGTTGGGTTTGGAGGGCGAGATACAGAGGACGATGGCTTGCTGCCCCACGCGAGTAGTATACTCATCTAGTGTGGCTCTGAGTTTCCTGAACAGAATGGAAACAAAGGTTACAGGACAGTAAGAAATGCTGTGATGGAGTCACAGACCAAACTTACTATGATTTGAGACAATTCTGATCAAATGTGTTCTGAAATCTGAAAACAGAAAGCAGAGTGAAGTGTGGAATTCTGTCAGAGAAAGTGTGGACATACTCTCTAAGCTCATCACATGAGGATGTACTGGGGCTTATGTCTCAGGACACAGACAGGACAACTTTTAATTCAGTAAGTTACAACTTTTTTTTTTGAGACAGGGTCTCTCTACACAGCTCTGGCTGTCCTATTACTTGATATGCAGCCCAGGCTGGCCTCAAACTCAGAGATCTGCCTGCCTCTGCCTCCCTGTACTGCAATCAAAGTCACAACCAATACACCCAGCTAAGTTTCAACACCAATTACTGCTGTTTACAATTGTAAGCATGACTGTTGAGATGTCACTTTCAGACTTATTCTGTCATTCTCTATCTAATAAAGGTGGCCCAAATGAGGAATCTCTTTTATTGGTATAGTCATTCATTTCACACTGGTATATTTTATCCAAAGTAAGTACTTTTAAAATGCTGTGGGTCAGTGTGACAGGCTCAGTGGTAAAGGTGCTAGCCTGAGAACCTGAGTGCAATCCCAAATCGTGGAAAGAACCATCAGCAAGTTATTCTCTAGTCTCTATACATGTACCATAGTATGTGTGTATATACATGCCCCACCACACACAAAATAAATAAATGTAGGGGCAAAGTATGATGGCTTTGGATTTATTTATTTGGATTTTCTGAGTCAGGGTCTCATTAGCTGAGGCTGGTCTTAAACTCCTGATTCTCTGCCTCTATCCTCCAAGTGCCAGCTTTGCAGGTGGGCACTACAATGCCTAGCTACAGCTTTATATTTTATTGTGATACAGATACACTCTCCTAGTTAGCTTTAACTGTCAACTTGACCTAAAGTCACTGAGAAGGTAGGTGCATTGAGGAATTTGTCCAGATTAGACTGGCCTACAGGCCATGTCTGTTCATTGAGGTACCCTTGTGGGCAGCACTATTCCCTGGACAGGTGGTCCTGGGCTGTGTTAGAAAGCTACTTAAAGCATAAATGTACAAGTGGTACACCTTTAACTCCAGCACTTGGGACACTGAGGCAGGAGATCTTTGTGAATTCAAGGCCAACCTGGTCTACATGGTGACCAAGCTAGCAGCATTCCTGGTTTCTCCTTCAAGTTCCTGCTCTGACTTCCCTCACTGATGAACTGTGACCTGATCACAGTGTAATCACTTAAATCCTTTCTTCCCCTAAATTGCTTTTGGTCAGAGTACTTTACCACAGCTATAGAAAAGAAAACAGAACACAAAGTCACAGTGCTTTGCAAATGAGGATGAAATGAGAGAGTTTCTTCAGTAGCCCCACTTATCTGTGGAGGCCTGCTCCAAAGCAGATCCCACTGGATACCTCTGCATATTGTGTCTTTATTCTGTACATACACACCAACGATAAAGTTAATATATACACTAACTACAGTACAAGAGGAACAGAAGATGACCCAACCATACAAACGATTATAACAGAGGCTCAAGAGGTGGCTCAGTGGTTAAGAGGACTTACTGCTCTTTCAGAGGACCTGGTTTTGATTCCCAATACACCTGTTAGGTGGCTCACAACTGTCTGGAACTCACTGCCTCTATCCTCCTAAAGTGCACATAAGCCCCTCTTCTGAACGCTGTGGGTACCAGGCACTGACACTGTGCATACATACACGTAGGCAAACACTCATACAACATAAAATAATGCTGCACCTTTCCTCTGAGTCACAGGAGTTACCCTGTGACCCAGGATCCTACATTTCATTATACCAAACAGAAAACCAGGCAGCAGTTCTTGAATGAATGAATGGTTGACAGTCACTGCCTCCAATTCTTTCTCTACTCTCCCTTGAGATAGGATCTTCATATGTAGCCCAGGCTAGCTCAAAAGCCATGACCTGCCTACCTCAGTCTCTTGAGTGCAGGAGTTATAGGTGTGTGCTAACCATGCCGTGAACCTGTGGCAATCCTCCGCGCCTCAGCCTCCCGAGTGCTGGGACTATAAGCATGAGCCACCACACAAGTTTGCCAGCCTCCTAAGGGGCTGAGCTTTCCTTTACCACTCTAAGCATTCCCCTCACACTCTCCCTGGCTGCTTGTTAAAAATAACTACCTTGACTGAGTGTGGTGGTGTACACATTTAATCCCAGCACCGGGGAGGCAGGGGCTGGTGGATCCCTGTGAGTTCGAGGCCAGCCTGGTCTATAGAGTGAGTTTCAGGACAAAAAAAGAAAAAAAGGGTAAATAATAAATAATAAAATGACTGCCTTGGCTCTTAATACTCCCTCTGCTGAAATGCTCTTTCCCTAGACATAAGCACAGGGACTCTGTCAGTTCCTCCCAGCTCTGTGCAAAAGCTGCCTCATCAAAAGGATTTCCCAGACCATTCCTAGAGTAGAGAAACAACTATGTTCTTTGACCTCCTGACACTTTCTCTACTCTCTTTTCTCCCCACAACCTTCCTCTGATTGAAAACAGTGTATGCTGTTTCCTTCCTCCCCCTTTCAGAACATAAATTCTTTAAGGGACGTTGTTGCTCAGTGTTATATGCTTCCAAATGCCTAGAGTGCCGCCTGGCACACAGCAGGTACACAAACTTTCTCTGGATGGATTAATGTGACATTAGATTATCTTCCTTCCTTCCTTCCTTCCTTCCTTCCTTCCTTTTTTTGAGATAGGGTCTCACTGTGTAGCTCTGGCTGACCTGTATCTCACTATGTAAACCAGATTGGCCTGGAACTCACAGAGATCCACCTGCTTCTACCTTCCAAATGCTGGGATTAAAGGCATGTGCTACCACAGCTGGTCAATGTTATACATCATATTTTCTGTATTTTCATCAATTTAATTTTATGGGAATGGTTCTAAGTCTAAACTTGCCATCAAATACTCTAATCCAGTGTCTTGAGGAAGCTAGCAAAAAATGTTCTAGCCCTGCCATCTACACAGGAAGCATGTGAAGAAGAGCAAGACGGGGTAAGGTGGCCCTCACCGAAGCAAACGTGTCTGTTGTCTCTTCCGGATGGACGGATTAGACTCAAACACATGAGGACGTTTCCGTTTCTTCCCCGTTGCCACAGCAGCAGCAGCAGCCATTCCCACAGGACCTGAAATAATAAGTATGTGCTGAGATTAGGCAGGAGCCTGTAAGGGTACAAGACAAAAAACAACATGTTATCAGTGAAAACAGAACGTTTCTGGTATAATCAATGTTCTTCAATATCTTTCTCATGAACCATGCAAATGGTTTACACCTTCCCGCCACACACCATCCTGAATTTCATACAATGCTGCTGCTTTATTTTGCCAGCATGCCCACACTGTTAGGCCAGTGTTCTCAAAGGTCCCAGGAAATACTGCAGCATTGAGAGAAAGGCCTGGCCACACTGAAACAAGCTAAAGGCTTCACACTGCCCTTCTAGTTCCCTGGCCCTCCCACTGCTCCAAGACTCTGCCAGTTAAGGAACAGGGAGAACCGAGTGAACTGGCCCACTCCCACCTATAAAGGAACATCTGGAAGAATACCAGCTGAGCTAGAAACTGTGCCAAGGAATGAAGACAGCAGCCGTAAGGTCCAGATGATGAGAGGATCCTGGCCAAAGAGATGGACACTTCCTCATTCCAACAAGAAAATGCTAATAAAGGCTGGTCCAGCTGTCCTGAAACTAATGCATAAAGGTCCTGGGCTTTGGGGGTGGGGAGGAGGATAAATGAAGGACAATTCTAAGGAACTACTATTGCAGTCTTGATACTTAGGGGTTTCAACACATCAAAGACAGGATTTCACCTTTATCCCTTCTTGCTAGCCCTATAAAAGGCTTAGATGAAAAATAAATTGCTAACATTTATATTGGCATGTATATTCTCAATGCGTGAACTGCAGTAAGCTGCTCTGTAAATCTGGATGGCTCCCGCCTGCAGGCTGCTCAGGACTAGGATGGTCTTGATGAAATGACACTCTAAACAACCCTCAGGGCAAGCAAAAGCCAGATGACCACTTGCTTTCTATCATAAACATATGATAGGGGATTTCTTTCTTTTTTTTTTTCTTTTTCCAGGGTCTCACTACATAACCTAGACTAGTCTGGAACTCAAAATGATCCTCCTGCCTCAGCTCCCTAAGCGCTGGAATTATAGGCACCGTTGTACCAAGCTAGCTATAAGGGGAAAAAAATATTAATTGCACTGCCCCCTTCTGTTTTATTATAAATGGCAATATTTTAATGGAAGGTCTGTCTTTGAATAAAATTTTGTGTGCAAAACAGTATTATTAACTACACCCACAATATACAGATTTCTAGAATTTCTCTATCTTACACAACTGAAATCATCCCTCCCTCTCTTCCTTTCCGTTTTTGAGACAGTCTCATGCTGGAGAGGCTGACCGTAGAGTTAAGTAACGGAGGATGACCTTGAACTCCTGATCCTCCCTGCCAGGTATGTGCTATTTCCCATCTAGTCTGCCTTCATGCCTGCCTTCTCTCCCTCCTTCCTCCCTTGCTCTGGAGCATGCTAGGCAAGCATTCTGGCTCTAACTACCAAGCCCTATCCCCAGCCCTGAAACGCTCTGTTGAACGGCAACTTCCCACACCTCCTTTCCCTCAGTCTGGCAACCATTCTACTGGATGTTTCTCTAAACTTGGCTATCTCAATCCCTCACATAAGTGGAATTATACAGTATCCGTCCTTCTGTGACTGGCCTATGTCTGTTAGGATAACGTCTTTAAGGTCGCTTGTGATGTCACACATGGCGAGATTTCCCCTTTTGAAGGCTGAGGGTGTGAGTGTATGTGTTCATTTCCTCTGGCCTCTCATCTACAGAAAGACATCTAGGTTGTCTTCACATACTGGCTACTGTGTCTAGGGATCAATATCTCTTTGGGATCCAGTTCATTTGGTTACATAGAACTGCCATATGATCCAAAAGGCCTACTTTTATCTTTAACTTCCTGGAGGAAACTCCACATTCTTCTATAGTAGCTTTATTTTATATTACCATGTGATGTACAAAGGGCACGCTCTTGCCAACACTGGTTATCTTTGCTAACTTTGGCAATAGCTACCCTCTTAAGGGTGTGGTATCATCTCATTGTGTTTTCTGTGACATGAATATGAGAGATGTCTCTTTAAATCCTTTGACCATTTTAAACTATCAGGTTGGTTTTCTCACTGTGTTGCTATCTTATCATGAAAAACTTTAAATGTATAAGCAAAGCTGAAAGAATTTTAACAGTTCACCATACATATCTACTTGTCAACCCGTATGTTTTTGGTGCACTTCAAAGTAAATTGCAAATGTCAATATAATATCCTTAAAGCCAGGTGGTGGCAGTGCACACCTTTAATTCCAGCACTTGGGAGGCAGAGGCAGGCAGATCTCTGTGAGTTCCAGGACAGCTAGGGCTACACAGAGACACCCTATCTCGAAAAACCAAAACCAAACCAAACCAACAACAAAAATTATGTATATATATATATGTGTATATATATATATATATATATATATATATATATATGTATATGTGTATATAAAACCAATGTCAGTTTGGAGCTTATGTCTGTGTGTGAGCATGTGCAGTGTGGGTGTGCACTCCACCTTTGTGAAAGCATCTCTCACTGAACTTGGATTCTCAGATTTGGCTGAGCTGGCTAGCCGGTAAGCTTTAGGGACCCTGATTTGGTCAATTTACAAATTCAAATATAAATTCCAGTATGAGTGTTTTTAGAACTTGATAAACTAATCCTATTATGTAAATGTAAATACAAGGGTCAAGAGTAAGCAAAGCAATTTAGAAGATACTAAACAGTGGTACTGATCCTATCACATATCACCATAGCTCGAGTTAAAGACCGTGGGACAGCTCCTGGATAGACAAGCTCACATAAGTGAACTACAATGACCCTATGTCAGAAGACAAGGGGAAGAAGAGTAGGCTATCAAAGACATGGAGAAGTCAACTGGAGCTAGGGACAGGCCATTTAGACTGGTACTGTGAACGAACCCCGCCTGGTTAGGGAGAATGAGAGACTGGACACAGCAAACACAGGGTGGGAAGCTGCATGTGCTCCAGCACACCCAAGTGTAGAATGTGATTAGTACTGTGGTTTGGCAATATACTCAGTAAGCCAAAATATGCCTATCTTTGGTCCCTCAACTCCCCTCCTGTATATCTTCAGGGAGTGTTTGTCAAATCCACTTGTGGAAACCTCAGCACTAGGGAGGTTGAGGCAGAAGGATTGAGAGTCAGAGGCCAGCTTGAGCCACACAGATGGCTCAGTGGTTAAGAGCACACACTCCTCTTGCAGAGGACTCAAGTTCAGCCCCACTTGTGTTCCCAGCACCTATATTTGAGTGCTCACAACTGCTTCTAACTCCAGCTCCAAGGACTCTATCGCCCTCTTCTGGCCTCTGCAGGCATTGTACTCATATGCCCCACCCACCCCATATACATAATTGAAAATAAAAATATTTCAAGAACACCATTTCAAAAAGAAACGCCACAAAGTTTTCTTTCTTCCCATTAAGCAAATGGTAAGCCTTTGGTAGTTCATGAGGAGTATTTTTCTTTTCTTTCTTTCTTTTTTTTAAAAACTGGTTTTTTGAGACAGGGTTTCTCTATGTAGCCTTGGCTGTCTTGGAACTCTCTCTGTATACCAGGCTGGCCTCAAACTCACAGAGATCTGCCTGCCTCTGCCTCCCGAGTGCTGGGATTAAAGGTGTGTACCACCACTGCTCAGTGAGGAGTGTTTTTCGAATAAAACAATATAAAGTCAGAGTGGATTAAAACATCAGAATATATCACTTGTAGCTGGATGTAGTTATGAACGCCTTCAATCCCAGCATTCAGGAGGCAGAGGCAGGTGGACCTCTGGGAGTTTGAATCCAGCTTGGTCTATGAAGTGAGTTCTAGGAGAGCCAGAGCTACACTAGTGAGACTCTATCTCAAAAAAAGCAAAAAACCAAAAAGGATATTATCACTTGTGATGAAGGTATTATTTAACGAAAAATAACCATTTCAGTTATATGTATATTTGTTTATTTGAGGACAAATCATAAAATATATTACTATGGGACACTATCAAAGAGTTTGGAACAGAAATTGGTGGCTCACACTTGTAATTCCAGCTGTGAAGTCTGAGACAAATATCTACAAATGTCGAAACGTTCTGATTCTGATAATAAATGCAACAACCACATTATCAACATAACTGAATCTCATAAAAATACTGAATGAAAATGTCATTATGAAACCCATCAATTTGTACAATGCATATATTTGTTAATAAATAAAGAAAAAGAGCCTAGCCGGCAGTATTTGGGGGAAGCAGAGGCAGGCAGATCTCTTGAGATCCAGGACAGCCAGGGCTACACAAAGAAACCCTGTCTGGAAAAAACAAACAAACAAAAAACGAAAAACAAAAAACAACAACAAAACAATCTGGGGACCCAGAAAGATGGCTCAGTGGGTAAAGGTGATTACTCCAAGCTTGACAGATAGAATTCCATCTCTGGAACCACCTGGCAGACAGAGAGAACTGATTCCAGCTGGTCTCCACACCGCACTGTGGCATGCATAACGCACACAGACACAGTCTTTTGAAGGCCTGGAGTGACCATGTTAAAATAGCAGGAATGAATGCCTAACAAGGCTGGGTAGCAAGCATATGTGTTGGTCGTGTCAATCTTGATTCTTTTCTCTATTCTAATGTCAGGCTGTTTTTCAAGATTCAAGATTTGATACTTATCAGACAACTTGTCAAACCTCATTCTCAAGGTAGCAATTGTCTCTACAGAACATGTGACTCTTTCTCCTTCTATCCACTGCCTCTGAGAAAATAATTCAATTTTGTCTAAAATGAAGTGCCCTGGGGGTGGGAGCAGTGGCCCAGCAGTTAAGAGCACTTGTTGCTCTTCCAGAGGACCCACCATTGTCTCTAGCACCCACATGGCAGCTCACAACCATCTCTAACTCCAGTTCTAGGAGATCCAACACCTTCTTCTAACTTCTGTGTGCACCAGGCACACGTGTGGTGCATATACATAAATGCAGCAAAACACTCATAAATCTTTTTTAAAAAAAAAAAGCCAAACAAACAAACAAAACCCAAACCCCCAAACATGAAGTCCTCTGGAATTGACACTGGAGACTAATACGGAAAAAGGTTGACCATTCTGTGCATGAGTGCATGTGTGCATGAGCGCACATTTGTGTGTTCCTCAGGTGCTATCCACACATCGGCCTGAAGAGTGGCAACCGAACTAGGCTACCTGGCAAGCAGGCCCCGGGGATCTGCCTCTCTCTGTCTCCACAGTGCTGGGATTCTAAGTGCAAGCCACCACCCAGCTTCTTACCTGGGTCCTGGAGACCAAACTCAGGTCCTCACCTTGCTCAGCAAGCACTGCTGACTGAGCCATCTCCCAGCCCCTTAGTTTTTTTTTTCCTTGAAAATCAACATGATCAAGAGCTGTTCTAGGCTGAAGAGAATTAGAAACATTTTTGGATAGGCAACATGGTCATTTGACTTTTCTGAGTTGCCTTTTAGATACGATGATGCTACGCACTAGTCCTCAGAAACCTTCTCTAGCAAGCAACCCATGTGACAAGTTGGGGTCAATCATAAACCCGGGCAGTTAATGAGGCCCTCTGCCACCTCTGTAAATTCTTCTGCTCACTGTGATCGTGTGTGTGTGTGTGTATGTGTGTGTGTGTGTGTGTGTGTGTGTGTGTGTGTGTGTGTGTGTATGTGTGTGTGTGTGTGTGTGTGTGTCTACACACAGATGCTTCTGCAAAACTTCAGCCTGCAGAGTCCCTAAGCCCTGTGTGGTTATCTTCTCTTCCTGCTCACAAAGCTCAGCTGCAATGGCCTCCTCCTCCCTGTTCTTCATCTGAAAGTCCTTGCCTTGGAAACTTCCTTAGTCAGAAATGCCCTCTTCCTGGCACTTCTGCACTGTCCTTTCCTGTTCTTTGGTTGTTCTGTTTGCTGTTTGTTGTGAGATAAAGTCTCATTGTGTTGTCTATGTTGCTCTTGAACACCTGAGCTCGTGTTCCTCCTGCCTCGACCTCCTGAGTAGAAAGGACTCCAGGCACAGGCCATTATACCTAGCCAGTACTAGTCTCTTCTTTAGTCATGCTGGGAACGGAACCCAGGGCCTCCCTCACACATGCCAGGCAAGTGCTCAGCCCTGAGCCAGTCTCAGCTACCCTTGCCCCATCCCCACACTATGCCAATCCAGGGCAGCAGCACAGCAAAGCCGTGTCTCAGAAGCCTCTTCCTTTGTAGGAGAGAATTGGCCTGGGCTCATTATGTTAGGATGCCCTCTTCTGGGAAGTCTAAAAATTTCACAGCATACATGTTACAAACATCGAAACCCAGTCTTTGCACATGCTAGCTAAGCAAGTGCTCCACCAGTGAGCTATATCCCCAGGCCCTCCCTTACTTTTTAAGTTCTCCTTTCCAGGAACAGCACAGTGGGTAATAAGTTATAGCATGAGATTATTATATGTTTCTTCTTCACCTTAATTAAATACAGCATATAGTTTTAAAATGTAGTACTTTGGCCATTCCTGATCACTGGTTTCCTGCCCTGCATTTCCTAAATAAAACCCAAGCATGGTTCATACATGTGTTCTCACTATGATAAATACACATTGTATACAGAATGATACAAAACACAGCCAGCTTTAAGTCAGCTGGTATCCTGGAAAACTTTAAACCCATAAATTGGGCTGAGATAAGGATAACTAGTGTTCTTGGTACTATCTAGCAGAAATGAACAGAAACCATGTCCAGCATAGTACTTTAGACCCCAAATTTTTTTAAAAATCATTTCCAAACACATCACAGAACATTCATTCACATTATGACCGGCATATGAAGCGAAGAACCAGCATAAACAAGACCTATCCCTAACAACAGGCAGCAACACATCCACAAGTCCCTCAGAAAGAAGAATTACCAAGTGAACTGTAGATTCATATATTACTGTGGAAATAATCTAAAATCATAATAGATTTCCACACAAACTGGAACTTACAGTGCAAGTCTGGGCAGGTGCAGAAACCCACTCTCATTAGAAAGTCTAGGACTGAGATGCACTGCTCTGTCTAGCATGTGAAAGCCTGGGGTTTATCCCCAGCCAATACTAGACATGTTTTTCTTAACCTTAGAAATATTACAATCTAAGTATGTCAGCCCTTACATTTAATATAAATAGACACTCCAGCTAAAACCCAGAAGACTGGCAGAATGGATGAGAAGAGACAGCCAACGCCACCACACTAGCAGTAAGTGACCCCAGAACTCAACTCTCGCAGAACAGGCTAAAGTTGGAGATGCAGGCTTAAAATTTTGTGATGAAGGGCTTGGGGTGTAGCTCAGTGGTAGAGTACTTGCCTAGTATGTGCGAGGCCCTGGGTTTGATCCCCAGCACTGAAAAAAAAAAATGATGAAAAGAAGTGTGAGAGTGCTGAACCCCAGGCTCTTTCAGACAGGCATGAGCCCACAGGTCACGGAAAGAGGAAGCTTCCGGTGCAAACCTTACCTGCAGCAGCCAGATGGGCAGTTACCTCGTCAGCTGCCGTGGAGTTGAGGATGTCCGAGTCATCATAAGAAGTGTCCTCGGGGGAGGAAGGAGAGTCTTCATCCGCGCTCAGCATACTGTGCTCCGTGTATGTGGCTACATGGACCTGCTGCACCTGCTGGGCCACTGCATGGGCTTCTATGGTAGCCATGTGTTCAGTCTGGGTCACTCCGTGCTCCTCCATCAAGATCTACAGCTATAAGAGAAGAGGAAGAGGAAGAAGAGGAAGGCGACTCAGTGTCCAATGCAACACAACGCTTAAACTAAGTGTTTTTTAGAGCAGAGGAACTGACAAACCTCTGATTTTATTACTTACTTGACCACACCAAGGTGTGGGAAATTCAAATGACATAAAATAGTAAAATATTTTTTATGTGAAATCATTGACAGAAATTCACTATTATATAGAAACATTAACATACCAAATGGGACAGCCTCCCCATACAATAACTCAATTTGGTTGTGTTTACAAAACTGTGTTCCTGCCGGATGGTGGTGGTGGCACCTGCCTGTAATCCCAGCACTCAGGAGGCAGCGGCAGGCAGATCTTTGTGAGTTCAAGGCCAGCCTGGTCTACAGAGTGAGTAGTCCCAGGACAGCCAGGGGTACACAGAGGAACACTGTCGGGGGGGGGGGGGGGGGGGGGGGGGGGGAGAACAACCCCAATAGCTGTGCTCCTTGTAAGCCCTGAAACGAAACAGTGCCTTACGTAGAAAACTGGCTCTCCTGTCACAGTCTCTCCCCCTTTCTCCACAAGCTCATTATTCGTGAGGAAAAATGAAGCAAACCTGTACACAGATTTAAAATAAACAGGTTTACAGTGACACAATGTTTTTCTTTCTCATTTTAATATACCTAGACATTTTGACATATTAAAACACAAAAACCTACCACATTCTTTTAAAATAGCTATAGAATACTTTATTGTATAGCTGTACTAATAAACAAGGCTGCTTCCAAATTTCAGTGCAGTGAACATTGTCATATATGAAATTCTGTGCATTGGTTCCTAAAATGTTTTTTTTTTTTCCTTTTCGTTTTTTGAGACAAGGTTTCTCTGTGTAGCTTTGGAGCCTATCCTGGAACTCACTCTGTAGCCCAGGCTGGCCTTGAACTCACAGAGATCCACCTGCCTCTGCCTCCCAAGTGCTGGGATTAAAGGCATGCACCACCACCGCCGCCGCCGGCCCCTAAAATGTTTTTAAATAGAACTACTACATAATCTGGCAATTCAACTTCTGGTACTTACCCAGAAGAACTGAAAGCAGGGTCTCAAAGAGCTCTGTGCACACCCATGTTCAGAGCGGCATTATTCACAACAGCCAAAAGGTGGAAGCTACCCAAGTGTCCATCAATGAGTGAAGCGGAAACAAAACTCGGTACAGACAAACCACATATCAGTCCACCTTAAAAAGGAAAAAAAAAAATGCAAATTAGGAATAAAGGGGATTTCCTCACCTTGATAAAGAACATCTATAAAAATGCCTATACCCATTTACTTAAAGATGAAAAACTCTAAGGTTTCCCATTGAAATCAGGAACAAGACAAGGATGTCTCCTCTCTACATCTTTTTGACATTACATTGGAACTCATAGCTTATGCAGTAAAAGAAAGACAGAAAGGAAAGATAAAAGAAATAAGGAAAGGAAAGAAAGGGGGAAGGGAGGGAAGAGAGAGGAGGGAGCAAAGAGGAAGGAAACACACGAGAGGGATCTCTGGGAAGGAAAAACAACTGTCTCTGCATGGCATGACAGTCTGCGTGAGCTTTAATCAACCAAAGACTCCTGGATTGAACAGCAAGTAGGTCGTAAGACACAGGGTGGATACATAAATCAGTGTTTTCTTATATGTCAACAATGAACAAGTAGAACTTGGAATTAAACATAATTTCTTCTCTATTAATGCCTCCTAAAAGTGAAATATCAAAGTATAAATCTACAAAATATGTATAAGAGCTACATGAAGGTGGAGGGAGGCAACGAAAAATGTTATGGTTTAGTTTTAGGTTGAGCGCTATCCAGTTTTAGGTGTCTGTTGGGGGTCAGGGAACATATCTCCTGTAGTAAACAGGAAATGCTACAAATTATTTTCACATTTTCATTTTTATTTCAAATAGACATATGAAACTGTACATATTTATCATGTACAGCATGATATTTGAAAGTACATATATGCTATGGAATGGTAAAATCTAGCTAATTAAAATATGCATTGCCTCATATAGGTATCATTTTGGGAATGAAAGCATTTAACTTCAGTCACGAACTATAGTCACCACGTTGTAGAATAAATCTCTTGAACTTCCATCCTCGAAAAAAATCTGTATGAGGAAAATTGCACAACTCTCATGAAGAAACCACAGGACTGAAGACAAAAAAGGGGGACTGTATGTTCAGGACAGAAAGACACAACACAGCCAGGCACGGAGGCGCACGCCTTTAATCCCAGCACTCAGGAGGCAGAGGCAGGTGGATCTCTGTGAGTTTGAGGCCAGCCTGGTCTACATAGCTATTTCTCAAAAAAACAAAAACAAAAACAACAATTGGTCTCTTAATTCAACATTGTCTTTAAAAAAAAAATTGTTTAACTTTATGTGCATTGGTGTTAAGGTGTCAGATTCCCTGGAACAGGAGTTACAGACAGTTGTCAGCTGGAAATTGAACCCAGGTCCTCTGGAAGAGCAGCCAGTGCTCCTAACCCCTGAGCCATCTCTCCAGCCCCAACATTATCTTTTTTTGAGACAGGGTCTCACTATGTAGCCCTGACTGGAGTGCAACTTACTAGGTAGACCAGGCTGGCCTCAAATTCATAGACTTTATTCAAATAAAAACTTTTATTCAGGGATGAGGAAATGGCTCAACAGTTAAGGGCACTAGATGCTCTTCCAGAGGACCCGGGTTCAGCTCCAGGTACCCACAACTAGTTGTAGGATAATAACTGTAACTACGGTTAGAGGGGATCTGACTCCCTCTTGTGGCCTCTGAGGATATTATACAACATACAGGCACACAAAACCCCACACACATTAAAAACAAACAATAAACCTTTTGATCTTTGAACGTATTAGGTATTAGGTAGCTATTTCCTCTGTATCAAAACTTTCCCTCCTATAAGGAGCAGGGATGTTCCTAAGCTAATAAAATTGCAGAAGCTCAGGAAGTTCAGGAAACTTAGAGACGATTCAAGGAGGCTCAGAAAGTTACAGGACCAAAAGCTCCCTCTCTGAGGTCATGGGAGTAGTCATAATTGCTGAGAACAGGAAGTTCTTCAATGGAACCACCTGCAAGTCAAGCCAGGAGTCCCAGGGATGCAGTTTTCATGAATCATCATCCACACTAGAGTGGGCTTTTCAGGGATGCAGTGACCTTTCAGTTACCTGTTCTGTATGTGAATCCTCACTCACACTCCTGTGAGAAACCCCAATAAACTCACTGCCTCACCAAGCTAGACTTGGGTGGAATCATGTCTCTAGTTTATTGCTGGTGCCATACCTGGAGTGAAAAGATTATTTGTTTATATCTCCCCATGAAAGGTCACACAATAGTAATACACTGTCAAGAGAAAAAGCATTTACCAAAAGAAAAAGGAGTTATTCAAAATTTTAAAAGTAACTAAAACTCAGCCGGGCAGTGGTGGCCCACGCCTTTAATCCCAGCATTCGGGAGGCAGAGGCAGGTGGATCTCTGTGAGTTCGAGGGCAGCGTGGTCTACAGAGCGAGATCCAGGAAAGGCGCAAAGCTACACAGAGAAACCCTGTCTCGAAAAACCAAAAAACTCAACAATAAGAATATAACCAACCCATTTTAAAAATGGACAAAACACCTCACTAGGAAGATACAGTACAGCAGATAAGCATATGAAAAAGTGTTGAACATCATGTCACCATGGAACTTACAATAAACCAGAGTAAAACACACATATATAACACACAGTAATAACTATATACCTATTGCATGGGTAGAACTCCACACTCAGTCCCTCGTTCTCTGCTGCCAGACCTCTGCAAGTATGCTGCAGGGACGGGCCTGTCCCAGTCAGCTCTGCCCTACAGCCTTAGCGTCCCCACTGGCTGAAGCTGACATCTGTTAAACTAGCCAAGAAAGGCCTAACTTCCTCCCAAAGAGGTGTGATCCTGATGGAATCACATGGTGTGGCACAAGTCTGTTGTGTGACTGGTAATAAAATCTCGAGAATCTTTAAGTCCAGAGGCCTTGTTCCTGATCTCTCTGAGGAGCTCTACCATGTGATTAAGAAAGTAATCACTGCCGGGCAGTGGTGGTGCACACCTTTAATTCCAGCACTCAGGAGGCAGAGGCAGGAGGATCTCTGTGAGTTCAAGGCCAGCCTGGGCTACAGAGTGAGTTTCAGGAAAGGCACCAAAGCTACACAGAGAAACCCTGTCTGGAAAAAACAAACAACAACAACAACAACAACAAAAAGTGGTCACTGTCTGACAGCAACCCAAGAAGAACAGAAAGGGTAAGGACGATAAATTCAGCCTGATTCTGGTAGAGAGCAGAACTCACCAACTGGCTCATTACCAACTGGCTCATTACTCTAAGACTAAGCAGGTCCTCCCACCCAACTGGAAATATGGGCTGTCCACAGCCTCTGCTCTAGTGGCACAAATTCTGTGTACATGAGCAATAAAAATCACAAAAAACAAAAACAAAAACCCCACAAACAGCGACAACAGTGAACTCTGTTTGCTACAGGAATGCTCACTCCTTGCTGGCTAGTCACCTTCAAAGACAGTTTCTCCCAAAACTGAACAAACACTCCTACCATATGACCCCATAATTAACTTGTTGGTGTTTAGTCAAAGAAGCTGACAAACTCCATCTACACCACAATCCCACACAAATGTTTACAGCAGCTTTGTTTGCAACTGCTAGAACTTGGATGCTACCAGATGTCCTTCAGTAAGTGACTGGATACAAAAGTTTTGTTCATCTGGACAATGAAATGTTGTTCAGCACTCGAAAGAAATAGGCCATTGAGCTAGGCATGGTGGCACACACCTATAATCTGGCACTTAGGAGGCAGAGACAGAAGCATCACAAGTCTGAGGTCAGCGTGGTCTACATATTAAATTCCAGATGAGCCAGAGCTATAGAGCAGGACCCTGTGAAGGGGTGGGGGGGGGGGGCAGGGGTGAGTTCCTAGGACATGGAAGGGGAAAAAAAAACCTTAAATGGATATTACTAGGTGAAAGACCATCTAAAAAGGTTACACACTATGGTTACAACTATAGGACCTTCTAGAAAAGGCAAAATTATGCAGACAGTAAAAGGAGTAGGATTTCCAGGGACAGGGGGGATGAACAGGCAGAGCATAGTTGATTTTCACTTAATTCAAAGTCATAGAATGAACCATAAAGTAATACAGACTCTGGGTGATAATGGCATGTCAACACATACTCATGACAAGAATCAATGCACCGCCGTCCTACAGAATGCCGACAGGAATCCTCTCTACCATCTACTGAACTTTGCTGTACACTTGAAACTGTTCTATTTGAAACTAGGTTGTTCTGGTCTGGGCTTTTGAAATTTGGACACAGACTATACTATGTGAAACTTGAAGATTCTTTACTCAGTAAAACAAGCTAGTCATGCACGCCTTTAATCCTAGCACTTGGGAGGCAGAGCCAGGTGGATCTCTGTGAGTTTGAGGCCAGCCTGGTCTACAGGGTGAGATCCAGGACAGGCTCCAAAACTACACAGAGAAACCCTGTCTCCAAAAGACAAAAAAATAAAAACAAAAAACAAACAAACAAAACAAAACCAAGCTAGTCACAGAGACAAATACTCTCTATATGAGTCCATTTGAGCTCTACTTTATTTGTGTTTCTATGTGCATGGGGGAAGGGTGCTACAGCCTGCCTGTAGCGGTCAAGTGTGTCCTATTACCCTGGTTCTGGGGACTGGATTTAGAGGCCAGGCCTGTATGGCAGTGCTTTCACCCAGTGGGCTGCCTCCCTGGCCCTGTCGTCCATCTTTAGGAAGTAATTAGAATAGTCTACAGAAAAGGAGCTGAGTGCAAGCAGGTGAGGCGCTGTCTCCTGAGATGCAAGAAGTCTGCAGATTGAGTACACAATAACAGGAACATGCTTAACGTTACTGAACTGTGCACCTAAAATTTGTTGTTACATATGCTTTACCACATGTGAAAATTAAGATAAATAAATGAGTAATTTCACAGCAAAATAAAACTTGCTTATCTTTACAAAAATTTGTATTGGATAACTATTAAAGATAAATCCTTGGCATTTCTGGTGGCTATGGCAGGTGAGGAGAAGAGGGCTGGCTCTGAAGAAGAGGGTTAGGGTCCCCGGCTGCTGAGGTGCTTAATGGGGACTGGGCCTAAGGAGAGTGTCTCACACTCGAGTCTGACGCTGCGGCC